CGACTAAGTCGAAGACCCTCTCCTCAAAGGTGAGTATCATATCAAACACCCCATCGCCAGCGTTATCCTGCCACCTCTGCGGCGCCAGCTTCACCGAGATGTTCCTCTTCAGCATTGGCAGTAGGCCGTTCCTCTTGTACCTGGATGGGTCACCAAAAATCCATACTCAGCACAAGAATGCATTGAAGAAGTGCTAGGGGAATCCACAGATAAAAATATCCGGAGTTCAGTTATCTCAGTGTTTTTTTAAACGAAGGCTCAAGTCAATTTGCCGCATTTCCCCCCTCGAATCATTAACGATTACATGTCTCTGAATCAGAACTAATCGACAGGTGCTTCACAGAAAATTGGGGGAGCTGAAATCTATCTAATAGTGAGAAAAGGGGATACAATGGGTAGGAAGGAACCCCAGATATCGCAAAACATTTGCACGATTTATCTACGTTTTCCTCCAAACCACCATAAATTTTCTTATAAACCATATCCAAAATCCTCGAACGGCCAGGCCGTAACAGCCTCACGTTTGTTTCAAATAAACCCAAGAACAGCCTCCCCGAGCACCAGATCACCAAAAGAAGGAAGAGGGGAGAGATTAGAATAGTACGGACAGGTCGGGGTCCTTGCGGCGGAGGTCGTCGTAGATGCCGCCGTAAGGGGTGCCGAAGTCGTAGACGTTGGGCTCGTGCATCGACGGGCCTGGGAGCTTCACCTGGGAGCCGGTGCCGTAGGACTCGACGTCGAGCGCCGCGCGGCCCAGCACAGCGTGCGCCTCCATGCTCCGGTTCATGTTCGACGAGCAGACCATCGCGAACCTCCACCTCCTCGGCGCCGTCATCCTTGCTCCTCGCCGCCGGCAGGGTAGGGTCGGGCCGTCGGGACTCTATCTGACAGAGCGCTTAGACGCGGGAGGAAACTTTTTTTTCTCGAGTCTAGAGAGGAAACTTTCTTGGGCCCTCGTGATGCGTTTGGTACTCTGCATTATTCTCAATCAGATCCATCTTGAATGAAATCGGATTATTTGATTGTGTGGGCTATATCTGTTTTTCGGCTCATACGAAGGTTAAAGCAGCTCTATATATTATTCTCAATTAGATCCATCTTGAATGGAATTGGATTATTTGGTTGTGTAGACTATATTTGTTTTTCGGCCCGTACGAAGATTAAAGTAGCTCTATATTGGAACTCCTGAATCGTCCATCTTTTGCGAGTTAGTCTCGCTCAATCCATGTGTGGGAATTGCGGGAGATGATAAGACGTCTCATAACTCCCACGCTCTCTTCAGTCACCTCACACGCTAATTCAGACACACTTACTCCTCTCTCCTGCATCGCCCCTTCGGTGTCCTCGATGGCAAAGCCACCCCTCCCCCTACTCCCATCGTTGTCAGCAGCAACCCCGCCTAGGAGAGGTGGTTTGCCGACCTTGCCTCTTCCAGCCAGGATCTCGCCATAGTTCTTAGGGCGACTTCCCCTCTCTTAGTGATGTCACGGGCACGAGCCAATGCACCACCCCACCACCCGCTCCAGCTCCGTCACCAGTGCCGAACGTTCTCATCTTGGGCTCAACAACGAGACGCTCATCCTTAACATCCCGACGCATCACGAGGACCATGATCATGGTTACAAACCCCATCATCGTTGGGGAGACTCATGTTCTCATCGGGCTATTCTCCTCGCCCGACCTTCTCTGCAATGGCAGCAGCTCGGGTAAGCGCTGATTTGTTCCGCCTCCTAGCGTTCATAGTTAGGGTTTTTCTGCTTACTTCAAACATGCTTAGGGAAATGTTAGATTTGACTATTTGGACTGGATTGGATTGGTTTCGATCAAATTCATTTCAATTTGATTCTAAACCATTCTATTTCAGTTGAATCAGAGCAATGCATGTGTTGCTAGTGCTTAGATTAGAATGCTACTTCCTTAGAGTTCATGCTAGATTGATGCATTTGGTGATGTTCTTACCACATTGCTACTGCCTAGGGTCCTAATGGTAGACTGGTACACCACATTACCACATTGACTGTTGTAGGATCGGAAGTATGTCTAGAGGGTGGATGATTAGTGATGACCCACAAGTATAGGAGATATATCATAGTCCTTTTGATAAGTAAGAGTGTTGAACCCAACGAGGAGCAGAAGGAAATGACAAGTGGTTTTCAGCAAGGTATTCTTTGCAAGCACTGAAATTGTCGGTAACATATAGTTTTGTGATAAGATAAATTGTAACGGATAACAAGTAAATAAATTAACTAAGGTGCAGCAGGGTGGCCCAATCCTTTTTGTAGCAAAGGACAAGCCTCCCACTTATGATAATTTGATATGTGGGTGCACCGGTGCTTGGGTGTTGCCCTTCCTTGGACAAGCCTCCCACTTATGATTAACCCCTCTCTCAAGCATCCGCAACTACGAAAGAAGAATTAAGGTAAACCTAAGCATAGTATGAAACATATGGATCCAGACCAGCCCCTTATGAAGCAATGCATAAAATAGGGTTTAAACTTCTGTCACTCTAGCAACCCATCATCTACTTATTACTTCCCAATGCCTTCCCCTAGGCCCAAATAATGGCGAAGTGTCATGTAGTCGACGTTTACATAACACCACTAGAGGAGAGACAACATACATCTCGTCAAAATATCGAACGAATACCAAATTTACATGATTACTTATAACAAGACTTAACCCATGTCCTCAGGAACAAATGTAACTACTCATAAAGCATATTCATAATCATGATCAGAGGGGTATTAATTATCATTAAAGATCTAAAAATATAATCTTCCACCGGATAAACCAACTAGCATCAACTACAAGGAGTAATCAACACAACTAGCAAACCACAGGTATCAATATGAGGTTTTGGGACCAAGATCGAATACAAGAGATGAACTAGGGTTTGAGAAGAGATGGTGATGGTGAAGATGTTGATGGAGATTGACACCCTCTCGATGAGACGATCGTTGGTGATGACGATGGCTTTGATTTCCCCCTCCCGGAGGGATGTTTCCCCGGCAGAATAGCTCTGCAGGAGCCTTAGATTGGTTCTGCCCAGGTTCCGCCTCAAGACGGCGACGCTTCATCCCGTAAGCTTCCTTCTGATTTTTTTTCCAGGTCAAAACACACCATATAGCCAAAAATGGGCACCGGAGGCCTGCCAGGGGGCCCACAAGGTCGGGGGGCGCACCTAGGGGGTAGGGCGCGCCCTCCACCCTTGTGGCTGGCTGGTGGCCCCCCTCTGTTTCTTTCTTCGCCCAATATTATATATATATATTCCAAAAACATGCTCTGTGAAGTTTCAGGACTTTTGGAGTTGTGCAGAATAGGTCTCCAACATTTGCTCCTTTTCCAATCCAGAATTTCAGCTGCCGGGATTCTCCCTCTTCATGCAAACCTTGTAAAATAAGAGAGAATATGCATAAGTATTTGAAGGAAATATGCCCTAGAGGCAATAATAAAGTTGTTATTTTATATTTCCTTATATCATGATAAATGTTTATTATCCATGCTAGAATTGTATTAACCGGAAACTTGATACATGTGTGGATACATAGACAAAACACAGTGTCCCTAGTAAGCCTCTACTAGACTAGCTCATTAATCAAAGATGGTTAAGTTTCCAAACCATAGACATGTGTTGTCATTTGATAAACGGGATCACATCATTAGAGAATTATGTCATGGACAAGACCCATCCGTTAGCTTAGCATAATGATCGTTTAGTTTTATTGCTATTGCTTTCTTCATGACTTATACATGTTCCTCTGACTATGAGATTATGCAACTCCTGAATACTGGAGGAACACGTTGTGTGCTATCAAATGTCACAACGTAACTGGGTGATTATAAAGATGCTCTACAGGTGTCTCCGAAAGTGTTTGTTGAGTTGGCATAGATCCAAATTAGGATTTGTCACTCTGTGTATCGGAGAGGTATCTCTGGGCCCTCTCGGTAATGCACATCACTATAAGCCTTGCAAGCAATGTGACTAATTAGTTATTTATGGGATGATGCATTACAGAACGAGTAAAGAGACTTGCTGGTAACGAGATTGAACTAGGTATGTGGATACCGACGATCGAATCTCGGGCAAGTAACATACCGATGGCAAAGGGAATAACGTATGTTGTTATGCGGTTTGACCGATAAAGATCTTCGAAGAATATGTAGGAACCAATATGAGCATCCAGGTTCCGCTATTGGTTATTGACCGGAGATGTGTCTCGGTCATGTCTACATAGTTCTCGAACCCGTAGGGTCCGCACGCTTAACATTCGATGACGATTTGTATTATGAGTTATGTGATTTGATGACTGAAGTTTGTTTAGAGTCCCGGATGAGATCACAGACATGACGAGGAGTCTCGAAATGGTCGAGAGGTAAAGATGCATATATTGGAAGGCTATATTTGGACATCAGAAATGTTCCGAGTGATTCGGGTATCTTTCGGAGTACCGGGGAGTTACGGGAATTCACCGGGAGAAGTAATGGGCCTTATTGGGCCATACAGGAAAGGAGGAGGCAGGCCAAGGGGAGGTGGCACCCCCCATGGGTCCGAATTGGACTAGGGGAAGGGGGCGGCGCCCCCTTGCCTTTACCTACTCCCTCTCTCTTTCCCTCTTTCCTTCTCTCCTACTCCGAAAAGGAAAGGGATTCCTACTAGGACTTGGAAGTCCTAGTAAGACTCCATAATCTTGGCGCGCCCCTAGGGGGCTGGCCTCTCTCCCTCCCTCCTTTATATACATGGGTAGGGGCACCCCAAAGAGACAACAAGTCTTCTCTTAGCCGTGTGCGGTGCCCCCCTCCACAGTTACACACCTCGGTCATATCGTCGTAGTGCTTAGGCGAAGCCCTGTGCCGGTAACTTCATCATCACCGTCGCCACGTCGTCGTGCTGACGGAACTCTCCTTCGTCATCAACTGGATCAAGAGTTCGAGGGATATCATCGAGCTAAACGTGTGTTGAACACGAAGGCGTCGTACGTTCGGTGCTAGGATCGATTGAATTGCGAAGATGTTCGACTACATCAACCGCGTTACTAAACGCTTCCGCTTTCGATCTATGAGGGTTCGTGGACACACTCTCCCGTCTCGTTGCTATGCATCTCCTAGATAGATCTTGCGTGATCGTAGGTAAATTTTTTGGAATACTGTGTTCCCAATAGTTGCATCCGAGCCAGGTCTATGCGTAGATGTTATATGCACGAGTAGAACACAAAGAGTTGTGGGCGATAATAGTCACATTGCTTACCATCAACGTCTTACTTTGATTCGGGGGTATTGTTGGATGAAGCGGCCCAGACCGACATTACATGACCGCGTTCATGAGACTGGTTCTACCGACGTGCTTTGCACACAGGTGGCTGGCATGTGTCTATTTCTCCAACTTTAGTTGAATCGAGTTTGACTATGCCCGGTCCTTGTTGAAGGTTAAAACAACACACTTGACGAAAAATCGTTGTGGTTTTGATGCGTAGGTAAGAACGGTTCTTGCTAGAAGCCCATAGCAGCCACATAAAACTTGCAACAACAAAGTAGAGGACGTCTAACTTGTTTTTGTAGGGCATGTTGTGATGTGATATGGTCAAGATGTGATGAGATATAAATTGTTGTATGAGATGATCATGTTCTGTAAAAGTTATCGGCAACTGGCAGGAGCCTTATGGTTGTCGCTTTATTGTATGAAATGCAATCGCCATGTAATTGCTTTACTTTATCACTAAGCGGTAGTGATAGTCATAGAAGCAATAGTTGGCGAGACGACAATGATGCTACGATGGAGATCAAGGTGTCAAGCCGGTGACGATGGTGATCATGACAGTGCTTTGGAGATGGAGATCA